GTCCCCATCCTGGAAGGCGAGTAGCACCGACAGCACCCAAGCGTTTCGTGATCCCCTTCATATTCCTCTGCCAAGTCAAGGGTTGGCGACCTCTCTGTTTACGCCACTCTGAATTGGGCATGGAAAACAGCACTCTCTTCGGCTAGCGATGCTTAGGCATACGCAACACATGTCCCAACCAACGCAGCTTCTGGTGCTGTGCGCATTATTCAATGGAAGAACGACTCTCATATGCATACATAGGTTGGACATTGGAAAGTTTTGTATAGTTGAACAGGAGGCCGCCCATGTTTATGCAAGATTTGTTAAACGAATGTTCATAGATAATGAACTGGGAATCGGATTTGGGAGGCCCAATTTTGTGGCTGGCTGATAGTTGACAACAACACTCAAGCTCCACAGCCGCATTTTAGTAGCATTTCGAGTTTCGAATCATCGTGCCATCGCTTAACTGGCTACATTCTACGGTGCGGATGGCGTCACCTTTGTCCAAACCATTCGGCCTAGAGTCTCATGCAATTCTGAAGGCACACGTCCTGCACGGCAGAAGTGATGGCAAATCTGCGTTGAAACTGAAAACGCATCTTCCCAGTTGCCTACCCGTGGTTGCCGTCACGTAGAGACCGGATCTCACTGTGGTGTGGCGGTTGGTGTACTTCAGCGACCCATTGAACTACATAGGGGGGGGGGGGTCGGCGCGACACTCACAATGTCTCTCATTCCAGTTGGTCAATGGTTAGAAGTTTGACGAACACAGTCTCCCGGTCCTCCAGACCGGAGTTTGAAGCACGTGTGGCGACTGGTTTCGTAAAAGCCACCATTTATTTGCATTTACTGCCAAACATCGCGGCCTTTTGAGCCAAAAGCTTTGATTGAAGACTCTAATCGTCTTCCTTTCTAGGTGTAAGCTCCCTGGGAGTATCCTAGCCCACGCACAACCATGAATTGCACACACACACACACGCACGCACACACACATATACTTACACACAAACTCTTACGGCAGCGACGCATCATTGTTGAACACTAATGTCATGCTGTCGATGATAATGACTACCAGTGGTTGAGCAGTCTGTGTACAGGCTACGCTGAATGGTGGACTTGTCCTGGTCACATTTTTAGTACACTAACGACTCATAGCCATCCTTTCAAAAGTTCAACCGCGAGTGTAAACTCCGTAGAGTGTTAGGGGGCTGCATGCTACCGACACTGCTGCCGCTGCGGAATTCCCTCGGTAGTATGGTTGCACAACTGGGTCCAGCCGTTTGTAGCCGATGAATACTTCACGCTCAGGAAGCAAAAGAAATCTTGTGCGGTTTCGTTTGTTTACTTCAGAAAGAGAAATCCGTTGCGTTTGCATTCGTCCAAACTTTAGCACAGTTGTATTTGCCTACTCAGTGTTCCGATACTTCACTGGTATTATTAAGTAATTTCGTTAAGTAATTCCATGTGCAGTAACCCTCTTTGAAGAGGAAACTTGACGAGGAGAGCGGAGTTCCAATAACCCCCCTCGAGCGTGCACTTTTCTTGTTGTGGGACGGGGTCAAGCTAACTCATGCTTGACGGGTAGTGCTGTTCTGGCCTTACAGGGGTTGGCTTCTGCTTGGAGGGATCTCTCATGGGGTTTTCTGTTTCGGACTCATTTTTTGGTAGTAGACTCTTCGATCAGAATACCACAGAAATTACATGATACACTTTACCATTCTTATTCCATTAGCTTTAGACGTGATCTGTGTAGAAAGACCGAACACATCTCTTAATTCGAGAAATACACTCATTTGCAAATCAATTTGGTTTTCACCAGATATTCGACTGAATCTCTCGTTTGTGATATTCTACAACTGAATGTGCTTCACACAGGCCTCTTCACGATGATCCAGTTGGCACTATATTCGATATATCGCAGTATAATTTCACGAAGGAAACTACTCACAAGGTTCATTTGCAAATGAGTGTATTTCTCGAAAACAGTCCAATTAGGGTTCAAGGAGAACATGAGGTTGACGGAAACTCGGGGACTGCCCCTAACTGATGAGCCCCAAGAAGGGCGAAACCGGTCATGGGCTGTCGAAGAGTTTTCAGCAACCTTGTGAGTAGTTTCCTTCATGAAAACATCTCTTAATTCCTGTTGTAAAATACCAAGTATCATTGCTCTTCCTTTCTTTTGCTGTTCGTCGCGCTTCCGAGGATATCCTACGAGGATTTCGTGCGCTACTTTTCACGCTTGGAGTTTTGTCACTTGGGTCCGGAAACTGGTCACTTTGGACAACCGAGCCGACTGGAAAAACCTCGTGGCTATTGGGAAATGACCACAGAGGTGGGTGAATGGATTAAATATTCCACAGCGGGTGGTTGTCGTAATAACGAACGTAAGTTGCCCATCACCTATTCGCGAATGAGCCTTTGGTGTGCGGTGCTGTTTGTCTCCTCTCCTGCTGTCTACCTGTTATCAGTTGAGACGGGTTGTAAGAACTACCCTCAGTCCACGTAACTCACGCACATTCATACCGAATCACGTAACTTTAACTTAGTGTTCCTTTGATGAGTAGAGGGAGAACTATGGCCGACATACTTTCAAGACAGAGCTTTTCCAGATGTTTCAGGCAGCGGAAATAAGACCTCTTTATGCTCTCATAAAGGAAACTACTTACAAGGTTGCTGAAAACTCTTCGACAGCCCACGACCGGTTTCGCCCTTCTTGGGGCTCATCAGGTAGGCGCAATCTCCGAGTTTCCGTCAACCTTATGATCTACTTTTCCGATTCATTGTTTCAGAACCATAGCTCGTGTAGCTTGATGTCGGTGAACCCGTAACGAGGCAGTTAGAAAGCCAGTACTCGTTTATGCAACGGGGACTTCCGTCGAAGAATGTGTCCAGCATCAAAAGCTGCGTTGGTTGGACCGAACCACCGTTTGCCAAAGAGAGTGCTGTTTTCCGTGACCATAACCTGGTAGAGGAGTTTGAAAAAGATTACAAAAGCCTGCGCGATGTCAGTGCGCCTCACCCGCACCTGGTTGGAGACGCTGTAAGATATGGATGCCAAATCGATATCGACGGTGTTCTTGTTTTCAGTTCCCATCCAGAATGCCGGACTGACTGACTGGAGGTTTAAGCGCCTGGAAATGATTGTAATAGGCTAGCACTAAGCCCCATCAAGAAACCAGGGTTGGGTTCGAGCTACAGAGACAACTTTATGCGGTACTGTGGACATTATGCTAGATAATGTGTGTGACTTGGTGGCCACTTAGTGACCGAAGGCATTGCGAAACAAACGACGAATGACCACATCATCTCGGATAAGATTTTTCAGAAAAACTGGGCCACTCCAAACTAAAGCGGTAGCTAAGCTAGCTTAAACTGGCCTTGAACAATGAGCCGGTTGAATGAGAAATCTGTCCGTGCGATTATATTAAGAGGATTTTCTCTTTTGGGGAGACGAGTCGGTTCCAGAAATTCGCCTAATCGTCACTGACCTTGAAAGACGATCAGCAGCAGGGTCTCATTGTTGCTTTGCTCTACTCTGTTTCTATCGCTTGGTTTCGTTGTCGACATGGGAACCTCAAAATTTCAATAATCTGGTCACTTAACCTTGGGTTAGTTTCTGATATACGCTTTTTTGTTTTCTTCCCAAATATACTTAATCTCGAGGGGGTAAGCAGGCATAAAGTTGATAATATAATAATGAGAAATCTGTCCGTGCGATTATATTAAGAGGATTTTCTCTTTTGGGGAGACGAGTCGGTTCCAGAAATTCGCCTAATCGTCACTGACCTTGAAAGACGATCAGCAGCAGGGTCTCATTGTTGCTTTGCTCTACTCTGTTTCTATCGCTTGGTTTCGTTGTCGACATGGGAACCTCAAAATTTCAATAATCTGGTCACTTAACCTTGGGTTAGTTTCTGATATACGCTTTTTTGTTTTCTTCCCAAATATACTTAATCTCGAGGGGGTAAGCAGGCATAAAGTTGATAATACGTGTAAGGAAGAAAATAGTTCGCGAAAAATTGAGCAAAATTCACCAACTCCCTTATTGGGAGGATTCTTGACTACCCTTAAAATCGAATGTTGGAGAAGAGGGTAGAATCAGGCCACCTCTGCCGGGCTCCAGTTTCATTAAATTCCAGCATTCGATAAGTAATCTGCTTTCCGGCCTGCTAACACACCTTAGGTTCTGTAAAATGCAGCTACTGAGAAGTTACCAGAAACAACACAGCCAGAAAGCGGAGATGTATCTGCCATGCTTTATCTCATGGAGACGAACGCGGTTTAGGCATTCCGGAGTCGCTTGTTTGCCTGTCTAAAAAAAGAAGGAAATTGTATCACACTGTCCTGAAGAACATCTTCGACCCGAGGTGTGCTTCTTGGCTAGACCAGCTGTCGACCAATCAGCGGAGGTACAGCTGTGATCGGATCCCTAAAATCGCACACACACCCGGGATCTTTGGTATTTGTCAAGTTTCATCAGGTGGACGTAGAGGGATTGAATATTTGACCAGCCTCAAGCTGTAGCCGCTGGACAACGCGCCTGCCGACCAGTCTGTGTACCCGGTGAATTCGATTTAAGCTGTGACCCCCGGTTCAACCGGCTGTCGACCAGTTTAGACAATCAACCAACTGCCGGCAAGCAGGCAGAGAATTTCGTGTGATCCTGGCGAACAGCCTGTTAATTACGAATTCATGGGCTTAGAATCCCACCGAACTTTTTGACAAAATCGTTTTCAGACCCTGGAAGCATTCGCGGCTATCTCGGTGGCCGATGCGAGATGATGGGATGACCAACAATCTCACCAAGGGCAGGCACATCGGTGTTCATCCTTCCCGGTTTGGTTTGCAGACAAAAATTTGTGTGTGTGTGTGTGGAGCCTACGAGAGGTAAAAAGGACTACAAGAAACGATTCCACAGGGATTTGGAGCGTCATAGGAGGGGCACGTTTTTTATTAATGAACCTGGATTTGAAAGATGTGTCTATCTGAGTCAAGAACTCATTTTGGAAAATAAACAAGGTGGGTGATGGATAGAGTGGCTAACAAACCTTACGTCCCATAAGATTTGTATGAAAGGATCAGTGTATACACTTTGAAGAATGTACACCCCGACCACTGAGAATGCAGAGTTCTTTTATGTGATAAGACCGAAAAATCTGCTAACAACTGAGGGGACACGTCATTGTGCTCTGATAAAACTAGAATACACTAGAATACACTAGACTATATGCGGCAACGGTTTGGACACAATCACGTGTGTGAGTATCAACGTTGGAGAGACATGAAACCGATAAGATGACCTGACCTAGGAATCAACTCAGCACAGCAATAGTTTGAAAATTGTTCTAGCTGGTTCTAGGAAACAGTGCAGTAGGGTAGTCGATGGTGAAAAAATCAGTGGACCGAATTAATGGTATGACCGAAACTGGAAGAGATCGTGAAATCGTAGGGAATGAACTGCCCCCAGCTGTTCTCGCTCATTTATAACAACGCTGAACTTATTCTAGCTCACCTCACTCTAGTTTGAGCAGTTGTCCTGCTTTCCTGTCGCACTTATTCCGGTGAATCCACACCAAAGGGGGGGGGGCTGAGTCACTGGACTCGAGTTTTGCCCTTATTAGAGCTCATCAGCAGTGCATATCCATGGCTGCGCCGGGGTTTGGACTTGCACACCTGACATGAGGCCAGCGTGTTACCACAGTTCCGCCAGTGCACTGTGGACGACCCGTCTCTCCTCTCTTACCATTAAAGTTAAAATTTGAGGTCATGAATCTGTCTCTCCCACGGGTCAAACGCAGCAAGTGCTTTGTCGGAAGGGTTCACTTTGAATATGATGAATTATAGAGATTTTTCGGCTAGTTCGTGCTCTCCCTGTCTTTCCGGGGTCAAGATGGCTCAGTGGATAGAATGCGAATATGTTGACCGGGAGGTCTGTGGTTCGAACTCGGCCTCTGAATCTTGACTCCCCTGTCTAGGCTTGGGCAACCTGGCAATATCTCAGCCCTCGTGCTTCCTTCTGGTGGCATAACAGCTAGGCACCGAAAGGGTGCTACACCTGAACGATTCTTTCTGTGTGTGTGAGGTGTGGTCAACAAGGTGTGCGACGAATTTCATCATAATCAGAGCCAGATGCTTGAAGCTAGGATGGGGATGGCAACCCGAGGACCTGTCCGACGGAATCGGTTCTCTTCTAGATAGTTGGACCTAATCAGTCTATTCTGCTTACTCAACCTATTGATCTGACCTCTGTTGGTGAATTCAACGTTTAAGTGCATGTGGTCGTAAAACCGAGTCCTGTTGAATACCTTCTTAGAAATTTCGCTTCTCTGGCCAAGTTTTTTGTTCCTCTCACGCTATTTTAGGCACCTTCCACATGAACCCACAATTCCGCGTTCACGTTATTGATCCGGATGAAACCGATGATGACAATACAGGTACTATTATCATCGGACTGATGCAAATGGGCAGACGAGAAAACTTTCAAGAACATCACACAATTGGCTACGCTTTGTACCTTGTGAGTATGGAAGGCTATCGAAATTTTGTTCCACTTTTTTCACTCGTTTACATCACCTACTTTTCGACTTTCTCCTGCACCCCTCGACCAAACCTGCAGAATGCGTTACAAGACACAGTTGATTCGCTGCAAGTTTCCTCGCTTGCCGAGGATATTCAGATAACTAGATTACTTGGGACATAGATCCTTGTGCCTTCTTGGTTACACTTTATGCCATCAACATCATAAAACGGTTTAAATGGAGCGGATGTGTTATGGGTCCTACTCGAAATAGTTAGCTTCTCACCTTCGCATCACCTCTGGGTACTCAAAATTCGTGAACACAACGTGATTGTGGTGTACCCAGAAGGTTCCAGTTTCCCAGTTCCAGTGGATGCCGGACCAGTGTGTTGTCTGATCGGAAGTTCAGAGGGATGGTCCTCGGACGTGGTGACATTCGATCACAGTTTAGTTCGGCTTTCTATAGTCTAACGTGTTTTGCCTAGCGGTCAGCCCCTGCTAAAGCAATCCCGTCTTAGTAAATTAATTGATTGGACCTGAATCCCAGTCTGCATCTGCTCTACCACCGTCAGTAATTCCAAGACGGTCGATCAGCTGTTTTATTCGTCCCAGGTTCCACCCGTAACAAAGAAATACTTTGAAGTAAAGGGCATCATGAGTGCGTCCGAATGGTTTTTCTTGTAAAGCGCTAGCATCATACTGCCACATTTCCGAATTATTCAAACCACTTCGATCGGGTTCTCGTCGATGAACTTTGTGGCCATCTCATCTGAATTTTTCCTCTGATCCTGGAGATGTGAGATCCCGTGATTTCCGTTCTAGACGTGCCTGTTTACCTCGTTTATTTCCAAAACTGCGTTCTCCCATTGTCTAACGACGAAAAGTGACAAAAGCTTGCTTGATTTGTTGAGTTTTCCACTTTGGCTTAATTCCTTCGGTGATACTGTTGCCAGTAATGAGAGTGAATGAGAGTGATGCAGATGGATTTTGGTCGGTTTGCCGAGCTTTATAAAACAACTTGTCAAACGGCTAAACAGCCACCTGATCAAAAGTCAATGGATGCACCCAAGCTGCCAGTATTTTGACAAATTACCACGGACGTTTTGTAATGCACTACTGATAAGGTTGCTGAAAACTCATCAACAACCCTCGAGGAGTTTTCAGCAACCTTATGAGTAGTGCATTACAAAATATATATAGGTATCGCGATATATCGACTGAAACATGAGGCGGCCTGGTGCGGCACATTCAGTTGCCTGTGAACATCAGAACCGAGAGATTCAGCTGGGTTCCAGGTGAGTCTGTCGAAGAAACCAAGTTAGTTTGCAAATGAGTGTATATTCGCTACCACTGACATGTTTACCTCACGTTTTAACTGGTCACATTGCAGTCTCACACCAGGTACCTAACCTCCTAAATTAAGGCGTCGCATTGTCTTGATGTTGAACATTCAGTGCTTCGGGAATCTGCGAGGCCATGTCACGAAGGCCAACGGGAAGCAGTTGGACGGGGAACCGTGAATGAAATTGCATTATGCGGCGATCCGGAAGGGCTTCATGCTCTTCTGTGAGCTCTTCAAGAAACCAGCATTTTCATATCTGTAGAAGCAGTTATACGACTTACAGGGCCGAGATGGCACAGCGGTTAGGGCGCGAATTTACTGACCGGATGGTTCGTGGTTCGAACCCGACCTCTGCCTCTCGACTTGCCATGTCTAGGCTTGGGCAACCTGGCAGTATCCCATCCTTCGTGCAACCTTAGGGTGACATGGCAGTTAGGCACCGAAGGGGTGCTACAGCTGAACGATTTTTATACAGCCTATTCTCGGGAAAAGATCGGCCACGAAAACCGTGCGCTGCGATCCCCAGGCAATCGACCACGATCACCAACCTACTCTCCAAGACGGTCGGAAAAGAATTCAATCTTACTGTATGTGGTACGGCTCCAAACGCATCTGCTGTCTGTCATAGGAATAAGACACCTGGTCCTAACACCTGAATCCAAGCATGTCAGATCAGATCTTCAAGAAAACTCTAACCATTGCGGTTTTAACTTTAGAGTAAAAGGTTAGATCATGGACTCACAGAAACAATTCTGTATGGTCCAACTGCCTTGCGAGTTACTTCTGAGTCAGAAGTTCAATCAGCCCATGGTTTTGGTCTAAGTATCTCGGATGTGTCACTATTTCTTTCAGTTCTTCGTTCACCTATACTCTCCTACGTCCATTTCGAATAAGTCTTCAAAAATGATCGAGCCATCAGTTACCTAGCTGGGTTTGGACTTCTACCGAGTAAAATATGAGCCTTTGATAGGTACTTGGAACAGGTTATGCATTGTGACTTCCAGTGTACTTGCTTTGTTAAAACAAGCATCTATTGATCTCAATTTACTTTCGCTTTTGTTCGGTCTGTACTACCTTCGAAATGCGAATTCAAGACACCAGTTCGGCTGTGCACTCCAAAATACTCAATAGGAACCCAGGATTATCATTCTTCGAGCGGGGGCAAGATGGTTCAGTGTTTAGAAGGTCCGTGGTTCGAACCCGACCCCTGCTTCTCAACTTCCCCTGTCTAGGCTCAGGCAATCTTGTAGTGTCCCAGCCCTTGTGATGCACGCTTCAGTTGGTACTTTATTCGAGATGTCGCAATACGAGAGATCCAGCTAGATTCAGTCCGGTCTTCTGTCAAAACAAAATTCATGTGTAAGTGGGAGACTGACTACCGGCTAATTCCCCACCCTTAACCACTGCTGACATCCATCTGATCTTTGTCCAAGAGTTCACCTGTACATTCCATGTCATGATGTCCCTACTGGTGTGTTTCAAGGTCGTACTTCCCATCCGTAGGTTTCTCGCAAACTTTATATTATGCCGGTGTTATTTTAGTGACCCACCCAGGTAATGCCATATTTCATAGTCCTCAAATGTGTATTCGCATAGATTCCGGAAAACTACCCCAGTGGAATGTTACTACCCCGGAGCTTTTTCGAAAGGAACGTTTCCAAGTGTCGATCTCCCGCTTTCATTAACATACGCGAGGTATGTGGTCGCCATAAATTGCCTCCTGGTGAGTACATGATCATCCCCTCCACTTTCGAACCGAACCAAGAGGCCAAATTTCTGCTCCGAATATTCTCCGAGAAACCGTGCAATACTAGGTAAGCATGGGGCGTTTTTTTATTCACGTGCAAACTCGCAGTACCCTTCCAAAACACTGGACCTTGTGTACTACAACCCCCCCCCAAAAGACTGCTTCAACGAGGCCACATTAGTGTTCCTGATTACCCAAAATTTCGTGTGGAATCCACTCCACCTCTGGCGACAGTCCCCTTTCTGGCTGTTCTTCGGGAAATCACTGTAGGGTGCGCATTTTTCTTCTATCGTCAGCCAAATGTGCATGTGCAGATATTCCCAGACATTCGAAAAAGGCCTACCTTGATCTCAGTGTGGACTTGATTTCCAACTCGAATTTCCCTAACATGTGACAGTGGGTAATGAGTTCAGCGCAACTTTTATCCGTTCTCTGTCGATAAAATAATTTCAGTAGGGCTTTGTGCTGGCTCGGTTTAATCGAACTGCAAATGCGGCAACCATTGAAGAATGTGTTCAGCACCAGGAGCTGCGTTGGTTGGGACATATGTTGCGTATGCCGAACCATCGTTTGTCGAAAAGAGTGCTGTTTTTCATGCCCAACTCAGAGTAGCGTAAACAGAGAGGTGACCAACCCTTGACTTGGCAGAGGAGTATGAAGGAGATCACGAAACGCTTGGGTGCTGTCGGTGCTACTCGCCTTCCAGGATGG